AGCAACCTTTGTAACCTCCTGCTGGCTCAACTCAGGGTGTATGCATGTCCCTTCCAACAGGGCAGGGGGCAGCAGCAGCAGCCAGAAGGAGCTGCCACCTTTGCAGCTGCTGGGAAGTGGAGTCCAGCCACTGTACTTCTCCAGTCCCCCTGCATGCCCAGGGGTAGCAGGACTGGCCACACACACTACAGCCTGGGCTGTCCCCCCTACCTGCCCAGCCCCTTGGCTGGGCAGGATAGAGGGACCCACTGTAAACCAGATAAAATCCCTTGGCAGGCTGGATATGGCCCATGGGCCATCTTTTGCCCACCCCTGCTGTAGAACTATGATAGCAAAGCCCCCAGGTAAGCTCATGGCCTACAGTGATAGGAAGGCTTTTTCTGCTGGCTTTGCCTCATCCCTGCCCCAGTTGACAGCATCTCTGTTGGCAGAATCCAATTCTGTCAGCTGAGCCTCATCCAGATGGAAGATTTAACCAATACAGCTATTCTAGTAAGGCTCTAGGCTGGTGGAGTCTGTAGTGGAGACAAGCCTCAGTCCTCCACCAAGCCGTTAAATATAAAACCATTTCCTCTCCAGGACAAACAGAAATTCTTTGTAGAATAATGAAGGGGTAGGTAGGGGTAGTGAGTCACGGTTTGGAGGACTGCTCTTCTAACCAGGATCATTCTGAATTCACTATATTGAGTATTCTAGCATGGGCAGGAGGGAGGCAAGGGGGATGAGGCTGCTCTGTTCCAAAGCTGATTTATCAATTAATTCTTTCATGAACACTGATTTGTGCCTCAGAGACAAGGAAGATAAGGACCCAAATCAACACATAATTTGTAGGTATAGACTAGAGCTGAGGGTCCTAGAGAGGGAAAATGCACCAAGACTTTCCAAGATTATTTGGTGTTGTTCCTTAATTGGGCATCCTGTTCTCTTTCTCTACCTCTAGGGCATCAGAAGCACCTTGAATAGGTATGTATCTTCTCTTCTTGTTCACACTATGCTCTGAGGGGAGATATCCTTAGGGCACAGCTTCAGACCCCATGGGCAGGGCTCAACTGTGGTACTTCCCTGGGTAGAGCAGCGTGACATGTCTGTAAGGCCAAAGTAAATTAATCCCTTTACTTTCCCTAGAGTTGGATTCTGGCTACTGATACCAACCACAGCCCCCCTGGAGTGCTGGAACTGATTGCAAGCAGATTCAAAAGTTATCACATTACTGGAAGAAATATTAATAAAAATGCCCTTGAATGAACATAGAGACTTGCTTTGTTTGGCCAGTAAAGAACAAATAAATAAGCGTCTGTTTCTCTGTAGGTGTGAAAGCAGGGATTTTGAGAAGCTGATGGAAACATTCCCTGAAGTGGAAAAAAAACTCAACAATTTTTCTCAAAAAAATATTGTTCTGAAGTCAGCTCTACAGCAATTCAAAGGTACCACCAAGGGGAAATAGAGAGAAGCTGTGCCCAAGTAGCTGCTAATTGATAGCCTACCTAAATACCAGTAAAGAAATATAGAAATCTTTGGATTAGGGAGGGAGGTCCAGGAGAGGGTATCACTGTGTTTGCATAAATGCATTTATTCCTTTGTCTTTGAACCTTGTCTGCTTATGTCCTTAGACCAACACAGCTGCAACCTACACCCCTTTATTCCTTTGTCACACTTATTGAGATATGCCCTGTCCTGGGGTGAAACCAGCTCTACAGCCATGCAAAAGGGAACAAATCACATTCCTGTTCATCCCCTATTAATATCAGTTGGCTAAGAAATTCAGCTCGCCACTAGGGAGACAGCACAAAAGGCCAGTGTGCTGCTATAGCTCATTTTAAATTATATCATGGGTAAGGCTACAATTTTGTCACTGAGGACACAGAATCCATGATCTTGAAGAACTGTGCATCTCTTGTCACCCATTCTGCCCTTCAACCAGGAGCAGAGCTTACAGGATCATGGGAGCTGTAGTTTGTGGGAGACAGCAGTCACATCTAGAAGGTCAGAGTGACTGAATTCCTTTATTTTCCCAGGAGAAGCATTCTGGCCACGGATACCAACAAATTTCCCAGATACACTGAAATTAATCAAACACGGTTCCAGATATTATTCCATTATAGGGAGAAATACATACCAAATGTTGAGATATTGGCATGTAGGAAAGAATAAATACCTGCCTGCCATACTATAGTTTTCCTTTGCCAGTCCTCTATCGTAGGGAAGTGTAGTCAAGAGTTTATTGTTTGGATGTTTCCACGAAAAATGCCTCATTTTTTTTTCACCACACCTTTCTCAACCGATCTCAAGGTAACTTACCTAAACTGCTGTGACAAAACTGCATTTAATGAATCATTTGCCCAAGCAAGGTATTACTTATAAAAGCTCGCACTTCTCTGAACCAGGTACCACTCTGTCCTGCCTCCTTTGACAAAACTTTACCCTTAAGGATGGGGATTCAGTGGTTGTTTAGGCCGTAAGATGGGTGTCTCTTCTCTGAATATCCCTGTCTCATTCTCTTTGTTTCCCATAATTCAAATCAAGCTATATGAAGAATTGTAGAAACTGTCTCATAAAGAGAACCCCATGAAATTTCATCTCTCCTCCCTTTCCTTTCTCTAGACAATCTGTTGGCTGAACTGAAGGTGGAATGGGGTAAGTCTCAGGGAAGGGGAGGGGAGCGAAAGCAGGTAGAAGAAAGAATTTTCACAGGTGCAATTCCCGAATGAGGAGATCCACTTTGGACCTGGATTCCTTTGCAGAAGATGATTCTGAGTCAAACCAAAGTCTCACACCAATGATAAAGACATTTTACAAAAGGCCTTTAGCACCCCAGAGCTAATTGCTTAATAGCAGATATCAAAGCAATAGGCAGTGCAGAGGACTGAGAAGGGGGCCATATAAAACTGACTGGTTAACCATGTTTGTAGCTCCTGTTTCCTGTCTCCTTGAGGAGATCAAGGAACATCCCAGCCAGCTCAGGGCTGCTAGGGAGGGTGACAAATGGCCCAAACATCTCCCAGGGCTTCACTCTGCCCCTAAC